CTTTTCACACTTTTTTTTTCTTCCTGTTCAGATAATATAGTTTTTGTAAATGAGTTTACAACAATAGCTTTTTCTGCAGATTTATTTTTATTATTAAGATTTGACCAAAATGTAGCTGAACTATTTTCGGTTTCTTTTTTCGATTTTAATAATTCAATTCTTTTTATAAGACGTTGAATGGTTTCATTCTGATAACCTATAATATCGGATAGTTCCGAATAACTTAGTTTACCTTGTTTAATCATGAATATTGTGATTTCGTCGTGTCGATTTTAGTGAAATTAGGATTATATAAAAAAAATAATAATATACAACAATAATAATAATAAATAACAAAAAAATTATTAAGCAATTGACAGCAAGAAAAATATAAATAAATAAAAAAATACTAAAATATATATAATGCAATTAAGAAGTTAATAAGATATTTTACAAATAGAGCAAAAGTAAATAAACGTTCAAAATAGGATAAAAATATATATGCAAAAAAAAACGCTATAGACTTTATATAAATAAAGAAAACCTTAAACAAAATTTTATCAAATAGGGATAAAATAAAGCTGTCAAAAAAAAAAAAAAAAAAAAAAAAAAAAAAAAAAAAAAAAAATAGAAAAAAATATAAGCTTAGAAATAAAGAATATAATAGTTCAGGAAAACAAAATATTATTAATAGATTTAAGAATTGATAATAGATATATAAAATGCAATTAAGAAGTTAATAAGATGTTTTACAAATAGAGCAAAAGTAAATAAACGTACAAAATACAATAAAAATATATATGCAAAAAACTTTATAGACTTTATATAAAAAGAAAACCTTTAACACAATTTTTTTTTAATCAAATAAGCATAATATAAAGCTGTAAAAAAAAAAATAACTAGAAGTATAAGCTTGGGAATAGAGTATATAATAGTTTAGGAAAACAAAATATTGATAATAGATTTAAGAATTTATAATAGATTTAAGAAGCTTAAATCTTACGCTGAAAAAACACGTCTTATCACTTTGAAAGTGGAAGTCGAAAAAGAATACCGCCGTTAAAGAGGACAAACAAACGTAAACAAATAGTTCGGCAATGTCACAGAAAGCAAATATTTGTTTCAAATGAATTTGCTTGATTCGAATGCAAAGCAAAGATATTTAGAAAAAAATTAAATTACATATATTTAATTGAATCGCATATATTTATCAAATAAGAATAAACAATAACAATTTTGTCTAATGTGCATAATCCAGAATCTTTAGTATATAAGTAATCTATTGGCATAATACTTTGCAGAACTTTATATTTGTTACGTAACAATCAATTACTCTCTATTTGTGTATTTGAACAGAGGCAATTTTCCAGGTTGTTTCTACTTTTGAACAAGTTAATTGTAAATTTTTTTTTGAAAATCCTGGAACACAAAAAATTAAATTTTATTTTCTAAATCCTGGAACACAAAAAAATTAAAAAATATGAAATATGGAAAAATAAAAATATAAAATTTAAAAAAATGAACCATTGTCAAAAAGTTATTGTAAAAATTTAGGCATTTATATCGGAATATATATGTAAAACTTATGTGGAAAACCAGTTTATATTATGAGCTTACTTATTATGCAAAAATAGTATAAAAAATTTGTAAATAATTATTATTTTGAAATGAATTTTATATAAAAAAAAAATCTTGGAATCTTTAGCTCCCCACTAAAAACTAACTCTCTCAGCAATGTTAAAACCTCTATCAGCTAAAATAACTTTTCCAGAAAGAATGTTTTTTAAAATTAAACAATGCTCTGTTAGGTATTTAACGCTAACATGTCTTCCCCAAGCTTTAGAAACAAATACTCCTATTTAACAGTATTGTGATGATTTAACAGTATTGTGATGATTGTACTGTGACCAAGAATTCAACAGTATTGTGATGATTGTACTGCGACCAAGTTGCTGCTTTTGTGGATAGATTAAATGGTTTATTTTTGAATATTTAGAGCAAGGAGTTAGCGTAGAGCATAAAACAAGTTTAAACCTGGACTGTTTATGATAAGAGTTCAAATCCTACCACTGCTAACTCACTGGTATATGTCTCTAATAGATAGATTTAAATGCAATCTCATAAGTGTGTTAAAACTGAGTTCTCATTTTCAGTTATAAGAGATTTTAAAAACTGAAATAAATAACATAAAATTTTAAATTTGGCAACCCAGTGTTAAATGTTACTTTTGAATCTGTTTCAAACCATTCAATAGCTTTCACGTGGAGTTTGACTAAATTTGCATGCAGATCATAATTAAGTTTGTTTTTATATATAAACTCAGTTTCTATTTGATTGATATTTTTGACAGTCATATTTGTTTGAACACTCACATCTACTAAGTTTTAACTATATTAAATGAGCTTGGTAATTTATCCTTTAATTTAATGCTAGGTAATAATTTGTCTTGCTGAATGAGCTATGAATTGAACCTCAAACCTCATTTTGAGTTATGGCTCAAAACTTTGAGGTTTTAAAAAATGTCTGCGTTTTTTAAAACCTTAAAAGCCATAGCTCAAAATGAGGTTTAATTCATAGCTCATTCAGAAAGACAAATTATTACCTAGCATTAAATTAAACTATAAATTACATAGCTCATTCAGTAAAACAAATAAGTTCTCTCAGTCCTCAAAGATTAAAAAAAAAACTCTCTAGACCACTCAGATCCTTTATCTCACTCACTATCTCCTAATAAGTCTTATTATAGCCTTGGAACCTTTTTATTTTCATTGAGGCTTTCTTGATAATATCTTGAGATTAACAATTTAATGACAATCAAAATAGATTTCAATTTTTTCATTTTACTGTTACTTGTTAACTATTAACAGTTAGCAAGTATGCAAAATTATCTGTTAACAGATAGTACTACTAACTGTTAACTAAGCAACTTGTTAACAGTTAACAAGTAAGCAACAGAAAAATTCTATTATACATTAGTAGGAAATGGTAAGGCTTGGACTAATCGGTCTTGATATGGACTTTATTGAAAGACTTAAGTCTTTCAATAAAGTCCGGCATGTCATATGCTGCTCTTCTCCATACCTTAAGCTTGACTTACTGGGTGTATCTAGTAAAGTTTTCTAAAATTAAAGTTAATGTTGATGGATAAAACTCTCTTCTTTATCAATCATCTTGATAACCTTACCTCTAAAATGGCTGTGTTTATATAAGGTTGTTATATTCTTAAGAACTATGTATTTGAATTAAATAATTGATGTCAATCACATTAAAAAAATACGGTTAAATGAACTTAAGTTATTCTAATTATATTTAATTGATGTGTTATAAGATCTGTTGTAGATCTTGAATTTTGTTTGACTTATTTTAATATTTGATAAAAGCTGAAAATCTTTAATTTAGACTTATTTATTACAATTTCACAACAATTTTATCAATTTATATTATTATTTACATTATGGATGCAAAAAATATTTAATAAAGTAGTATGCGACAAACCAAACGAAAAAGAGCATATATACTGGAAAAAAATGCTATCAATTTATTCAGTTAAAGCTAACATAGACGAAGATTGCAAACTTCAAGTTTTATTCGTACTATCTGGTTTGAAGGCTTTAACAATAATCAAAGATACTACATCATATCATGATGCAATCAAAATACTTGATAACAAATATCAAAGACAATCAACACCTATTATGATGCGCCACAAGCTTTGCTCTTTTAAGCAACAAGATGGAGAAACAGTCGAAAGCTTCATGAGTAGCCTGAAACAATTTGCAAGGAAATGTCCAACAGAACCTCTAACAGCAGAACAACATATTAATTTACTTATTTGCAACACTTTAGTTGCTGGAATTTACTCACCTTCTATTTGACAACGACTCCTTGAAGCTACAGAAGACAATTTCGAGGCACTTTATAAAACAGCTCTAACATTGAAATCAGCCACCAAAGATGCTCTTAATTTGGCAACAACCACGACAACTAATACTACGTTACCAACTTTTGTCGCAAGTCATTACCTTATGAAATCTCATTGCTACTGATGCGATAATGATCCGCATTCAAAATGCCCAACGCAAAATTCCACCTGTACACATTGTCAAAAAAGGGGCCACTGGGCAGCTGTCTGTCTCTCAAAGAAAAAAAATAAAACCTACTCTAAAGCAGCAGTTGTCAAAGATTATCAGGAAGAAAACGATAACACAATAGTATCTACGGTCATAGCAGCAATCGACTTACCTGGTAGACTTATTAACATCACCATTAACAAAAATATAACACAGGCACTGATAGATACTGGCTCCGATAAAATGTTTATTACATCAGAACTTCTTCAACATTGGAACCTTTCTTACGATACTCAATCTACCTCAAAGGTATCATTGGCAGATAATTTAACATTAAAAGTTAAAGGAGTCTTCCAAGGCTCATTGTTATTAGTTTGCGAAAAATTGTTATATATTAATTTTTCTATTTTATAACAAATTATGCAAAAAGATAATTTATGCATCAAATTTATAAATACAGATGTAAAAATGGTTGATATATTTTTATATTAGTATTTATGAATTTTATATGTATTTTTATGAAAATATTATTATAGTAACAGTATGAAAATACTTTAAAGGGAACTGTAAATCTACAGTTATAGATATGCTTTAGGCTTTTAGGCAACTATAGGTAACTGTAGATATGCTTAAGACTTATTATAACTATATTATGCTTAAATCAACTTGAGTTATTCTAATTATATTTTTTTGATGTGTTATAAAATCTGTTTTGATGTGTTAATAATTAATTATAAATAAATTAAATTAGATATGCTCTAAACTTTTAGACAACTGTTGGTAACTTTGACATACTTCAGGCTTGTAAACAACAGTAGGTAACTGTAGCATGCTTTAGGCTTGTAGACAACTGTAAATAATTGTAGATTTTATTAATGTTTTATGAATGACAATGAAGTTTTTAGTTTTATATTTTGTAATTGTTATTTAATATTTTTATTTGAATTTCAGAAATCTAATTCATTAAATCCAAAAGGAGGTTCAAAGTATGAAAAAAAGAAAGAAAGTTTCAAAGCAAGTGTTGGAAATGCAAAGGAAAAAATAAAAGAGTTTGGAAATAATGACAAAGTTGCAGGTGAGATAACTTTATATTTTGATGTCATAAGCATTTGTGATGTCTCAAATTTTATTCAAATGAACAAAAAATACATCAAATTGTTGAAACAGTATTTTATTAGATATTTTAAAATTTTGAAATTTTAGAAGGTATAAGTGGTGTTGGAGATGGTTTAACTCAGCTTGTTGGTGGCATAAGTAGTGGAAGTTGGCAAGATATGCTTCTTGGTGGCCTCAGTATTGTTGGGACATTGGCTAGTTTAGCAGGCCCAATGGGAGCTGCTCTTTCAACTATATTGAGTCTTGTTTCAATGGTATTTGGACTTTTTGGGGGATCTCAAGGTATACGTTTTGCTTGAGTGTATTTGTTATATATTGTCTGAGATATAACTCTGATGCTATATATATATTAGAATCATATCTGTTTTTTATATAATTTATATACATTTTAGCAGCCTCTGTTATGCTAATAACAACATCAAGGCGCGGATTTTTCTCCAATAATATTTATAATAGTGATATTCAGATTCAAAACCATTTCTCAATGAACATTTACGTAATGTATATTACTAGATTTATGGAGAAAAATTTAATAAAAAAAAGTAATAAAAAAATTAATACATTAGACTTTAGTTTAAAAAGATTAAGGCAAAAAAATAAATTTATAGAAAATAGTTCTTAACAAAAAAATATTTCTACATTGAAAAAAAAAAGTAGTTCTTAAAAAATATTTTACTAAAAATATTTTTTTTATTGCTTTATTTTTTTATTTTCTCAACAACAGCAACAACAACAACAACAACAACAACAAGCTATTTATTTTCCATTATAAATCATTTTTACAATAATAAGGTAAACAATAATAGCAATAATTAAAGAATAAGCAATAGTAATAATTTAAAACAATAATAATAATAATAACAAAAAAAATTTAGAAATAATAATAATTGCTATAGTAATAAGTAAAATGATATGTTATTTCTTATTATAATAAGTTAATGATTAGTATGGATGGTGTCACTTATACAGAAGTCTGATCAAAGGAATGACACCATTTTTCAAAATAATATGACTAATAATAAACATATAGACATAAAACATAAAACAAAGACACACATTAAGTAAACTTTTTAAAAATCATATATGTATGTAATGATAAAAGAGAAAAGAAAAACAAACAAAAAGTAAGGATATTTATTATAGTAATAGAAAAAAATTATAACAAAATATTTTTCAGAATTTTTTAAAATTGATTTTGATTAAGATTAAGAAAAGATGACAAAGGAGTTTAAAGTTGGAGTTTATTGAACTCATTCACAATGCAAAAAAGGCTCTTGTTCCATTCATAGATGCAATGATACACAACAGAATTCTTACCATACCTTTGAGTACCATACCATACCTTTTGAGTTTTATATGATGGTACAATAAGTTTTTCTTTGTCTTCTCAATTAAACATAAAGTTGAAACACTGTTTTAATTAAACATAAATTGATAAATTAATAGAACTAATTGATGAACAGTTAAATAATTTTTAAGATAATACTTATAGATTGGTATACTAAATTTGAAAAATAAAAAATCAAAGAGAGAAATATATTTTTAATTTTTGTAAAAGTCATCAAGTAAAACATCAAGTTAAATATAATAAAACATCAAGTTTTTTTTTATTCAATTGTAGAAAAATTTATAATTAAATTATAAAAAATTATAAATTGATAATGTGCATATAATTCAAAAGTTTTTTCAATTAATCTGTTATGATCTTGATGATCATAACAGATTAATTGAAATACTTCTGCTATTTATGTTATATATTAAACAACACAATATAGAATATTAACAATATAATATTATAGTAAATAAAAAACATTTTAGCTTTTTCCACTTATTAACCTAATTTAGATGTTTATGAGAATGTAAATATAAATGCATAAACAACCAATTCTTTGGATGTCAACTTTAAAAAAAACAAGCTACTAAATGTTTTTGTTCTTAAACGCATATGTGTTTAGCCATTGGAAAAAAATGGTTTTTTAAGATAACAACAACCCTATCAAATGTTTGACCTTGAATTTTATTGATTTTTATCGAATATGCTAATTGGAAAGGAAACTAGAAACATTTTAGAACATAAAATAAATTACTATCTGATGTAGCCAATTAAATTTAAAAAGTAGATAGATATTTAATAACATTAACATCTGTCAAAACTACATCATTATAATTATTTTGAAGAGTGCAAACTTTCATTTCAGTGTCATTGCAAAACCCACTTTAGGATCTATTTTTTAAGCAACATAATTTCACAATCAAATTTTCACATTAAACAATAAAAAGGTCTCAGATGATAAAGGAGTTAATAAAGACAATTCTACCATTTGGAGTCAACAAAGTTATTTAAAAAAAGAAGAATATAACAAACATTAGAAATATTTTTTTGTTGTTGTTAGTTTAATGTTTACATTTGTATTTTAATTAGAATATAAAATCAGTTAAAGATGAGTTAAGCTCAAGTAATTAGAATATAAAATCAGTTAAAGACGAGTTAAGCTCAAGTAATTAGAATATAAAATCAGTTAAAGGCGAGTTAAGCTCAAGTAATTAAAATATAAAATCAGTTAAAGATGAGTTAAGCTCAAGTAGTTAGAAAATAATAGAGTATAAAGAAAACTATGTTTAGAATCAGTTTGATCTATTTTTTTTTGTGTGAATAAGTTGTTTATAACTATACCCATTGATGAAGAACAAGATAATATTAAGATTCATACTTTACCTTGGTTCCAATCAATTTAAAGTGAAGAAAAAAGTCTACAACATAAATATCTTAAACTCTATTAATTTTGCATCACAAATGAATCTAACAAATAACTAACAATGTTAGCTCATCCTCAGAAATATTCTAACTTATCCTCTGAAATATACTAACTTATTCTCCGAAATATACTAACTTATTCTCTAAAAAATACTAACTTATTCTCTAAAAAATACTACTTAAATGTTTTTTTAAAAATTTAAAGCAATGGTTATATCATAGTATGGATAAAATATAAATTGACTTGATGCTGGGTCTCTTGATTAACTAAAAAATTGCACTCAAACTATTAAATAAATTTATTTTTCAAGTTTCAAATTAAATCTTATTTTTATAAAACACAAATCTTAAAATAACAAAACTTAAAACATGAAACTTTTATTTTACTAAAAATATTTATTAAGAATGAAAATGTATTTAAACTTACTTTTAATCAACTTTATTATTAACTTTAGTATCTTTACTATTTTGTTGTTATAGTTATAAGTTTTAAATTTATAATCAAATAATGTATGGCTCTTTAAATAGAAAATATTAGTGAATTCTGAGTACAGTATGAACCTTTTTTTATTAAGTTAATTTATTAAGTTAAAAATATATTAAGTTAAAACTTGAAAAAAAAACAATAACATTGAATGATATTTAATGGTTTAATTGTTCATGAATTTATGCAGACAAGAATATAAATAGAAAATTATTCAAGTTATAAGCATGACTTGAATAACTGTGTGGCCTTATTATAAAAAGAGGATCACCAGAGAATACTTACATTTAATCATTAACACCAGGGCTCAAATAAACACAAAAAAATCTAATCGCGAAAAAAAATTTTGAACTCCCCTCATCCCCTGCGCAATTTTGAAGTAAGGAGGGAGGGGGGTTGCGTTAGTATAAACTAGTATTATTGTGCATTAGTTTGTAATTTCTTAACATAATTAATTAGTTTGTTATTTTCTTAACATAATATCCCTCATATTTAAATATAATCTTATAACTTTCTTGTATGGCAGAGTTTAAAAAAGCATAAGTTAGTGTTATAGTTTAGAGCTTAAGTTATGTTTTAAAGTTTAAGTTGAAGTGTTACAATTACAGTGGAATGACCAAGTTATAATCTAATGGCAATTAGCGTATTTAATACTTCTAAGATATTAACTTTAGTAATTTTTTTTAACTAACATGAAAAATAGATGAACATTTAAAATAGTAAAATTAAAAAGTAAAAGTAAGAATGCAAATATTTAAACTACGAGTCATCTACCTTTCATCTTCTAGGATTAACTACAATGAGTCATCTACCTTTCATCTTCTAGGATTAACTACAATGAGTCATCTACCCTTCATCTTCTAGGATTAACTACAATGACTCATCTACCTTTCATCTTCTAGGATTAACTATTACTTACTTATATTGTTGCTGTAGTTAGATCTACATTTAACTTTCAGAAATGTACACTAAGTAATTGCTACTGAGTATTATGGACATCACTGCAATCAAATGTATAATTATTTAGCATTAAATTTCTTTTAAATTTTTCCAATTTTTAATTTCAATCGCAAAATTATTTGAATAACCTAATTTTAAATGTCTAAAATTCTTTTATTCAATTAGGTTATATAAAAAAAAAATCCTAAAAACAACTTGCACATCTATAGAAAATGTTTTATCAAGATATTGCTTTAAATAAAATGAAATTGTTTTAAAATGGTATTGCATTTTTCATATTCTATTCGAGATTACTTGTTATAAAAACTTTAGGTAAAAACTTATTGTTAACAACATATAATATATTTTATGTGTTAACAACATATAATATATAAATAGAAACATTTATATGACTAACTTTTCCAAGTCTTTGAGTATATTAAGTAAATTTGATAGTTGAGTAACTTTACTGTAATAACTTAACTGGTTGTTTTGATTTAGTTTATAAGTAAATTTACTGTGATGTACTTTTATTCATTAAGTTTTATTTATTAAGTTTTATTCATTGGCTTTCTACGTTATTTAAATTAAAAAACGCTTTATGTTGAATGTAAATCTCAGCGCAAGAGAGCAAGTGATCATACTACTATTTAAAAGATAAATTTAGTGTGACCTACTTAATGACCCCCAATAAAAAACTTAGACATAAACATTTTTTTTAAGAATGGTAAAAAAAAGAAGCTTAATTAGAAAAAAAAAATAAAAAACAAAAAAAAAAAACAACTAATTGCAAAAATATTTTTAACAGAAAAAACTAATCATAAAGGTGTGAAAAGCAATTGCGATCGCGATATGCCTAATTCACCCTGTACATGAAAGTATTCATAACTTTCAATTACATAGAAATTGATAATAATTACCATAATTACTACATTAATTTTAAAATGTTTTCTGAAAATAGAACTTATGCAAAATGACTTTCAAAATGATTTATGCAAAAAGTTTATAAAAGACAGTTTGCAAATTAAAGACAAAATCAAAAAATATATTTAAAGAATAATGGATAACCAAGTTAATAAAAAAAAAAAATGTGTTGTTTGAGGGGTGAACTGCTATAAAAAATTCTTACCATAATTTTTCGTTTTAATTAACAGAAGCAGAAGAAAGTCAAGAAGGAATGTTAAAACGAGTAATTGATGATGCCCTAACTCGTGCTCGAGCTGATGAATTAAAAGCTGAAGCCGAAGGTTTGAAGAAGGCAATTAGCTCTATTCGAAATTCTGTCAATCAATTCCGAGAAGAAAATTCTATTTCAGAAAATCAAGCAACTGAGCTTTATAATCAGGCTTTTAGGGTTTGTATTTTAGATATGCTTATATATATATATATTTTTTTTAAATACCTAATTAAAACCGCATATAAATATGCTGAAAAACCAAAAAATGTTCACTGATGGTACTATCATTTATTCTTTTATAAGAAGCCTACACTGTTTGATTGCTTGGGTGGGGCACTTGAGCTTGAAAAGAATCTTACTTTTGCTACAGCCTGGGGCTCTCAGTGGCTGGTGAACTTTAACTCAAATAAAACTAAATTTTTTCAGCTAATTGTTAGGCAATAATCTAGATTTGACCATATTTAAGAAAGGTAATGTACTCGATTTGTTACCTACCTTTCATTTTCTAGGAATAAATTTTATTTCTGATTTTTTTTGGAAACAACAAATCAAATCCATTGCAAAAATAGAATCTGCTAAAATTACATTTCTTTATCCTGCTCCAAAAATTTTTATTCATCTAATTTTTTTTGTTGAACATCCTTTGGAATTCGCTTCTTTTATCTTGTTTTCCTAAATCATATAATTTGCAATCATTTAAGTTGTTTGTAAATCGTTATCTTGTTTTATAAACTTTATCTTTTCTCTTACAATAACTTCCAACTCTAATAGTTGTTGGTGCAGCCTTGTTGGAAGTGAAGATGTTAAAAAAATAAGAAAATAAAAGAAAAGAAATAAACAAAAAATGAGCTTAAAATTATTCATTCCATTATTACTTTATTTATATTATATTAAATTAAACTATTTATTTTTTCACCTTTTTTTGTTGTATATGCAGTGTACATTTTTTAAGCAAAGATATGTAATAGGCATAAATGATATATAAAATATATTTTTGGCATTGTGTAAGAAAAAATGTCACTATATAAGCAGTGCTAATGTGATAATTGTATGTAGAAACAATGTTAGACTGCAGTTTAAGGAAATGTAAATGTTAACTTAACAGATTATTGCACAAAATTTTTTTTACATGTTATACCTAATGAAACAACAAAAATTTAGCAAAATTTTAGTGCTTTTTAACTAATTTTTTATCAGAAAAAATAATCTCAAAAAGTGTTAAGTTGGCACTAGTAAACCCATATACTTTTAAACTCCTAAAACAAAAAGGGTCAAGATGCTTTTTAACTAAATTTTGCCAACTTAGCACTTTTAAAGAAAAAAAGTAAAAGAATGACCCTAACCCTTAAGTTTAGATTTTCCTAAAATCTATTAAAAAATATACATTTAAATAGTTTTACATTATTTTGTACATATTTTTATAAGGGGAAGATGTGTTCAGTAAAAATGTATGTTAAGAAATTAATATAATGATAAAGACCAATTTTTGACCAACACCTTCATCCCCCCCTCCCCAGCCCTCTTTTCTATTGAACTTTTTTTGACCAAATTTAAACTAGTTAATACAACCATTAACAAAAAAAAAAAATATTGCAGCATTGAAATCTGTTTTAAAATGAACAAATTGCAAGAGTTAAAATCAAAACTGAGGGCTTTATAGTGTATATAGTAATAATATAATATTTTTACTTATCACATAAACTTGTTTATATTTTGAATTATATTATTTTAAGTTTAAATAATTTTGTTTAAAAAGTTTTTAGATGATGAATCAACAAAAACATTTACATCTTTAATTTAATAACAATGAAGCTCACTGAGTTTGACTTATTTGAAATCTTTATTGCTAAAGAAAATAAACAAACAAAAACTATTTCTGCAAATATAACAGGTTGTATACTGGTAAATGGTAAGGCAGTTGTCTCCGATGAATTGACATTTGCACAAAAAACAAAAAGAAAAGATCAAAGAGCAAAGATCTGGGTCTGAAGAAAAACAAATTTAAAATAAAAATCTTGAAGAGTTAAAGAAACTCTTTTAATAAGTTTCTAATAGAAAGTATGTCAATTTAAACAGTTTGTGCTTTTGGTAGGCATTCATATACAAACCAAAAAAAACAACTATTTAAACTGCTGGTTTTAATATATTGCCTAGTTGGAAATATCTCAGAAGTAAACAATCTGAAGTAACACCAATTATTATAAATTATCTTAAACTTTATTCTTATGTTTACTTCAGTCTATTTCATGCTATGATGATGCAAATCAACTGATGATGCAAAGGATATTAGAGATCATTTTTTTAGATATAAACATTGAAAATATACTAATGAAAATAAAGTTTGGATTTGATGGTAGTGGAACCCATGCCATAATTTATTCAAAAGATAATTTAACACTATCAATATCATACTGACAATGATTTTTCCATTTTCACTTGAAACAGAAGCAGGTTTGTTAATATGGTTGAAAAAGCGCTTAGTCTTCAAATGAGAAAAGAATCAAGAAAAACTTTTTATACATAAGGAAAAATAATGGTTTTCTTATGTATAAAAAGGGAAAACAATTTAATGTAAAGGTGATAGTCAACAATATATAATGGGTATGAAAGCAGGGAGTCTTTTTCAGTAGTTGGAGGTGTATATTGTAATCATGTGCAAATGCTCAAAATATCAGTGTTTGAATATTGAAAGAATTGAATATGGTTTTGTAATCAATTAAGACACTATAACACTATAACTATGAACAAAATATTTAAACAACTTGAACAAGAAGATGTTTCTTTACTTAAAAAAAAACCTGATTATATCACAAGAGCCAGACAAATCTTCAAACCAATTCCAACCTGTGACATAAAGCCAATACAAGTAAATTGATATCTTGTAATAGTTTTCATATTATTCTATATTTTTAATATGTGAACATACTTGATATTAAGAATTATTAGATTTAAAACTTACTGATATTTTTATAGGTTTTTCATGCTATGCTGTGTACATTTGACCGGGGTCCCGGCAGCTCCCTATTTCAGTATGACATCAAATGTTTATATATAAAGAGTTTTTTAAATCAGTTTTAAGAAAAATGTGTCTAGTTGTAATTCTTTATTAGTTTTTAGATTTCAACCAAACCTTATTTAAAGGTAAAAGAAGCACAAATAGGGAAATTATTTTATGCCAGTTTATTTTATTTTGAACATATTGATTAGTTAGTTACTGTAAATTTATTGAGCCATTTTTGCAATTATTTTTATTATTTGATTATATTTTGTAACTAGTTCATTATGTATATTTTTTTGTTTGTTGATATTTCTCTGTCAAATCTTCTATTTTTAACATTTATGCCAAAACCCTCAAACATTCTTATTGAGTATAAATCTAGGTATACTCAATAAGAATGTTTATTTGTTCCTAACTACTTTCTTACTTTATGAATATATGTATTTTATTATTTACCTCCCCAAGGCCTAGATCATTTACAAGTAGTATTGTGTTAGTGATACTGTATTATTTGGAGCTTTCCGATGATTAGTCTCCCAGACCCAGACCATCCTCATCTGATGATTTGTGATTGATTTTTTCAACATTTTTGAACATGCTTTTTTATACTTGGTTTGTTTTTAGACATAATTTTATATCAAACAGAATATGTAACTCTTTTCATTTCACTAATTTGGTTTAAAGGTTTAAATATATGGGCAATCTAGGTTTTATTTCTGCTCCCTGTATGGTCAGCTTCATCATATTAAATTACCGACAAGAAATCTTTCTAGCAAAAGATGTCTTTAAATCATGATTGGACACCCTACTAAATAAATTTAACAAAAAACTATTACTTAAAATACTATCAATAGGTCTGGGAGCTTTTATTTGAAAATGCCTATATAGACCCACATTACTCCAGGTAGTGGGGTAATGTGGGTCTACATATTAGACCAAGTAGACCCACATTATTTAGACCCACATTACCCCACATAGTGGGGTAATGTGGGTCTACATAAAATGTTGGCAGTTCCAGTTTAAAATACTGCTGCTTATGAAAAGTCTGACATACACTCTATATTTCCACACCTTTATTATAGTATATATATATATATATATATATATATATATATATATATATATATATATATATATATATATATATATATATATATATATATATATATATATATATATATATATATATATATATATATATATATATATATATATATATATATATATATATATATATATATATATATATATATATATATATATATAAGGTTTTAATTTACAAAGCAGTCTTAAGATATTTTTATTGAAAAAGAAAGTGCATACATACACAGCACAACAATAAAAATTAAAAACCCAGAGAAATAAAAATAAAAAAATGGTGAATAATAACAGAAATTATGTTTTAATAATGTGTTTTAATAAAAATAACTATTTTTTTGATCACTGCACTTTTATGGTATAACATAAATGCTATTTTGGGCACCTTTGGGTATTTCTTTGATACTTCAGTAGAGGTAATAGTTTTTTTTGTACATTTTTTTTTATCTTGGTTTTTTTCCTCTCTAAATTTTTGTTCCTTAAGTAACCATCATTTGACTTTCTTCCTTTTTTGTTTTTGTTGTTCTATTATTGTTGTTGTTTCTGCAGATACATTAGGACATATGATTGACCTTAAAGCTTCTTGCGTAGCTGATCTTGGTGTTTGTAATCTTGGAGATTTAGGGCTATAACATTCAAGTGATTGGTTGAGAAAGTTAATACCTGTCCAATTTCTATCCATTTAGAATACAGATAGCCTTCTCTTTCTTTAAAGAAAACAAATGGCGGAAGGCATCTTCCATCTGCAGATACACAGAATGATTTTTAAACAATTAAACATTTTAAAGGATTATTTTCTTTTACTCGACTCGATTATTTATTTACTAGTCGAGAAGAAAACATTGTAATAGCAGAGCTAATTGAGACAAGTTCCCTTTGTACCAAAGTACTACTCATACGCTGAGTAGGCGGAGCCAGGATTTGAGCCTGCAATCCTGCTGCTACAGCCAATAATTATTCTGAACTTTATAGCAGCGCTTTAATCAACCGAGCCATTTCCGGCTTAAACACTGAGTACATAGCTTTACCAGAAATATGCTTATGAAGCAGCCAGTTCATAAGCATCTTTGCTTTTTGGATGTACAAATACTCTTTGTTAAGTGATTTGTGGAGAGCCTAGTCTTGTCAAGGTTGTATATACTACTTGGTACAATGTTATTATTATGAATTACATCAGATAAAATAGTAAAAAATTTATCTATAACTTCACGTGTTAAACTTTTAGCTCTTGAAAATGGAAGTATTTCAGGTTTATGTAATCAAAGTTTATCAACATAGGGCTTCCTAAAAGAACGTATCCAATCTTTCCCAAGAATTCAATTTTTTAAAAGGAGTTTTCATCCTTATCGTTGAGTAAAATTGAGCAACTAAATTACATATGTCAAGAGAATCTAATGGAAGACCATATCTTTGACAATGCCGTGCTGCAGATACAATCATAGTTTCATCATTATCATTTGACCTTTACTTTTGTTTGCATTAAGTTCTTGTGGTTTTATTCCTTGTCACAATGTTTATTTAGAAACAGAATATTTTTAGCAGCATTATAAATAGTCTTTTTTTCCTCTCATACTAACATAATTGCTCTTTCCAAACTATCAGCATTTGTACTTGCGTTTTATTTTTTTATTGTAACATCTTGGCATTTTTAAAATACTTTCTAAAGTAATATTTATGAAAAATCTATTAAATTTTTAGTGAAATAAATTAGCATAAATCATAACATATCACAAAAAAATATTTTAACACCAAATAGGTCTTATATAATATTTTATTTAACCTAGGTGAAAATTATCTTTCATACAAGTAAATACATGTTTCTTAATATCAACTTCAAAGGTATAAACTTCAAAAATAAGTGTTTAATAATTCTAAAGAATTATCAACACGAAAATAGTTAGGTCTGATAAAACTAATAGGTTAATAATGTTACTAATAGCAACTTCGGTAATATAATTACATATTATAATATTTTATATACATAGACCCACTTTACCCTACTCGATTATATTTCAAATTTTAAACAAACCATGTGCATTAGTGTCTTAAAGGTACTTACTATCCTTAAATTATAGTAATTTAACTTTCAAAATAACCATTTTTCAAACGCTTATGCCTTATTTGAATATATTTTCAAATAAGGCATGAAGCGTATGAAGTTTAAAAACGGAGAAAAAAATGACTTTGTTGACTTTGTGATATTTTGAAATTAATTAGTCTAATATGTTATGACAAAGTGGTAAAAATTACAACTTTATACCTAAAGCTATTATCAATTCAACAGAAAAATATGAATTAGACCCAGATTACCCCGTAAACCCACATTACCCCACCTTACCCTATGTCATTACATTACTGTTATGTCAAATGTAGTCTGTTATAACGAATAGAATGCTTGATAATAATTTGTATTATTAAATCCATTGCTTAAGTCCATTGCATGAATCCATTGCTTTAATCAATTGCTCTTGCCCATAATTTTTTAATCCTAGTAAAAGTTTTGTTGATTGTAATTGTTTGAAAGTTTGAAATTTTTTCTTCTCTAATTTTATTTGTTTCTTTTACATCAATATTTTATCTAGGGTTTAACTTTTTTTGGACTACTGAAGTATCAAATTGATAAATATTGTGATTGTGCTGTTGAAAATCCAAATGACGAAGAAAAAGTTAGAAAAGCAAAAGAAAATTCTGATCGATGTTTGGAATTTCTAAATCTTTATGCTGATTTGTCAATACTTCGACAACTATTAATAGCAGATATGGCAAGTCTTGTTGGTTCAGTTGGATTAAATGGTACAGCTATAAATCTGTTATCCCTTACAGAAAAAGAAAAGATATCAGATAAAGATATCTTATTTTTTTTGTTGGACCCAATTAATAATAAGTAAGTAAATAAAATTTGAATAACAAATTTCAAATAAAATTTCAATTCTTTTTATTTTGAATAAATTGTTTTTATTTTAAATTTATTTTTCGATAAATTTTTTTCTGTTAACTTAGTATTTTAATAAAATCATATGCTTCTGTTTTTAATTGATTTTAAAATGTGAAATTGTTGACTAAAAAGAATTACACTAACATATTAGATTCAAGATTTAGGAGTACACCTTTGATGGTAACCTTCTAAACCTTTGATGGTAATCTTCCAAGTGCAAAATAGATTAACACCAGAAAGGTTATCTAGTTGTAAAAAATTGCTTTAACAGTTTGACAATGTCATGATTAAATTCATTTTATTTAATATTAATGAGCTTCCAGATATTCTTACATCTAAGGTAGCATTGTTTACTGATGATACTACCATTTATTTTTGTCTTGATAAGAAGCCAACACTCTCTGATTGCTTGGAAGGGGCATTTGAGCTTGAATAGAATCTCACTTCTGCTACAGCATGGGGCTCATAGTGGATGGTGAACTTTAACTCAGATAAAAGTCATTTAAACTTTCTTTTGGGTAATCTTTATTGCAACAATCCTGTATTTATGAATTATATAATCGATGAGTCATCTACCCTTCGTCTTCTAGGATTAACTCTAACTTTGGATCTTTCTTGGAAACCATATGTCAAATCAATTGCTTAATTAGCATCTGCTAAGGTTACATCTCTTTATGATACTCACCACTTTCTTACTCAGAATTCTATTCTTTATCTCTATAAATCTCAAATCCAATCTTGTATAGAATACTGTTGCAATATCTGTAGCCAATCTTTAAATGATTTCCTTTCTCTTTTAGACAAGATGCAAATCACATTGTAAACATAGTTAGTTCTTGCTATTCTTTAATTTTCAACCGTTGTCATAATATCTTTTTCTTCTCTATAAATATTATAATGAGCACTGCTCTAATGAGTTAGCATCTCATGTGCCATCTACTAAAATTCATTTTCATGTCACACATCATTTAATTATGTATCATTCTTTTACTGTGACTTTTCCTAAGTGCTCTAAAAACTTATTTATCTAGTTTTTTTCCTCAGAAATCCGTTCATCAGAGTTTGTTACATTCTTCATGTTTTTCTGATCCATATAATTTGAAATCTTTAAAGTTATCTGTTAATCGTTATCTTGCTTTATAAACTTAATCTTTTCTTTTCCAGTAACATCCAACTCTAATAGTGGTTGCTCGCAGTCTTATTTAAAATGAAGACGTTAAAAGAGTTTATTGTCAACTAATAAAATTATATATGATTTGGAGTTTTTGTTGTTGCACTAAATGAAAATTTGTTTTATTTGAAAAATGTTTATGTGTGTTATACTCATCATATATTATTTTTATTTATTTTTAAATTCTTTAAAAAAAATTTTTTTCCTTCTTTTAAAATCAACTTGTAGAGATCAAAGATTTTGTATTGCTCAGTATTTTGGGGTGCCTGGTAAATACCCAACTCTCCAAGCTTATTTGGGTAGCTTGACTCAAGCATCTACCGGTGAAATTGTTACAAAACATGTTGTGATTTGTTCTCAAAAGCAACTACTAGGTTTGTGTTACAAACTTGAACCAAAGAATTATGATGAGAAAGATCTACTTGGATGGGCTAATGATATCAAGTCTATATATGTCTCAGGTATTTTTTTTTTTTGATACTGCCTGTCTATACCCAGTTTGATGTCATAAATGATATTTCATGTGCAGCTAAATCTGCTTTTATTAATGTATATACCCACACACTTTAGCAAACATAGATGTGTACTGTCCAAATATATTTTGCACATTTTAGGTTTTCAAATGGTGGGTTTATGTAAAACAGTTTTCCAGATAAAGAAGAAAAAAAAAACAATAAAAAAATAATAATAATATCTTGCTTTAATAAATGTCTTTAGTATTTATAATGTACCTGCCTTAGTCTAATCTTTAGTTGATGTATGTCTTAAGACTCCCACAAATAGCTATTTCATTATAATACCGTGATATTTTATGCAAAGCTAAATCAACATTTATTTTGATTTTTTTTCAGCATTTTATAAGTTTTTTATGTAGTAATAATATTTCATGTGCAAGTTTGTTTTTGTAGTTATGTAGTCTGTTTTGGTTTTAGATGGTCTCGTTGTATATGGTTATAGTTCTGATCAACGTAAAGGTAATAATTTTTTTATTATATTTGAATAATTTAAAGCGCTAAAATCTCCAGCTTTTTATTCTTTAATAATAGCAGAACATCTAGAAAAATTTAAGTTAAAACACATTTGATAAAAAAAATTTTTTATAAAAAAAATACAGGATTATTATTATAAAATAATACAGGATTGTTATTATAAAACAATACAGTAATATTATATCCATCATCTTTAATTTTTTTAAAAAGTTACAACATTTTTTTTATAAAGTTCCTAAAAATTAAAACTTACAAATGTGACATTTATTCTAAAGGTGGTAGTAAAAGTGATCTGGCAACTTTTTCATATATTTTCTGACTTAATAGTTGCTCTTATACTTTTTAGAGACACTTGTGTTAATTGTGTCAGTTCTGGGCATATACTTACAAATCAGCTCACCTATTAGTTGTGAAATGAGTCAACTGACTTATTTGTTGTGAAATAAGTCCACTGAAATTTCTTTGAGCACAAAATTTTACTCGAAATATCAACCAGGTTTTTTGAATAAATTTAATTCCATTTATAACACCATGTTATATACTTCACCTTCCAAGCTTAAATCATTTAGTTTTTATTAAAAGTACCTACTTAACACTAAATTAAATTAAATTAAGCTTTTGAATTTATTACAACTGTTTTGAAATCGTTAAGAACTTCTTTGCCCTTTGTTTGAAGCCTCTGCTTTTTTCTTTTTGTTTACTTGAAGCAGATGCTATATTTTGGAAATAATTTTTTTCTATTCCAAAAGTTAAATCATTTATTAAAATAATAAAATTTAAAAATAAACCTAGTTTAAATATTTCTATATATAGTATTATTGAAAGTTGTTGTACAAACTCACACATATATATGTTTGTATTGTTGATTAAAGGCATTAAATTAACAATAGGTTTATAAAATATGTGTTCTCCGAAAAAATTTGTAATTCAAAAAAAATTTTATAACACAAAATAACTCTCCTTCTTTGTTTCTTCTCCAGAGAAGGAGAGTTGTTCTGTAGTAATTTTTTTACAGAATAACTCTCCTTCTTTCTTACATTATTGACTTGAAGTTTTGTTTTTTCTAGTTTTTTTCTTTTACTTTGTTTGTAATTAATGTTAATAGTAATTATCTGATAAATGTTAAAGTTAATAACGTTTAGTGTTAAATTAGTTCTTTTTAAATTTTTTTTTTTATACATTTGTGAAAAAAAAACAAATTTGTGAAGTTTGTTTTCTTATATACTATGTCATAAGTTCTTTATTATATATTATGGTCATTATATATTATTATCAGGTCAGGTCAGGTTTATCCTGCTACTGGTAACATGTAACCCAGTACAATCTGCTTCATGTCCTGCTGCCTTGTAGGATATGCCTTTTTAGGCAAAGGCTAGGAGATGCAAACTCCGACATAAAATACCCCCTGCCTTGGGGCTCTTGGTTGAGTAAAGGCTAGAGATGGTGTCTCGATAAAAATACTTATCTTGGGCAGATGTTACATGCATCCGTCTGCTGTCTTGTAGTAGGCCTCCTAGGCAAAGACTTAAGGGGTAAACAGATTCTATCTGTTGACCAGCCTCACTCTATTAGGCTGGCGCAGATGTATTTTTAATAAATTGTTTCCAGTTTAGGATGTTGAACGCTGGATCTTCTTGACTCGTTTCATGGGTTTTGCTTGTGTCTCTGTTTTTATGACTAGGCAACTCATTCCATTACCTCCAAATGAGGGTACAGCTCTAAAACTCAGTTTTATGGTTTTGAGGCCGGCTGGTAGTCAGGTTTCCCTAACTCTGTGGTAGCTCTCAGAGAGGCTGATTCCATCATTAGCTGAAAAATATCAGAGTACTAACAGTGCCATGTTGCGCATGGATGGTGTCCCTGTTTGTACTTTTGGTGTGCATTGCCAAGGCCACATTGGAGCCCTTTGTTACGGCTTAGGGTTTATTAGTGGAAATGAGGCAATTGCTTGAGCTATAGTACAGTGTACTGAGTACTATCAATATTTCGAGTCAAGTTCTTTAACAAATTCAAAAATGAATAAAGTAACAAAAACTATAAAACACAAAAAACCACAGTCATCACCAAGTTCGCTAAACCTATCATTCACCAATATTCGTGGTCTTCGAAGTAACTTTTCTTCTGTTGAGTCTTATCTCTTGCAAAGTTCACCAGACCTGCTTGCTCTTTGTGAGACTAAATTGAGTTCAGCTGTCTCATCTTGTGATCTTAGTGTTGATGGTTATCTTCCTTTAATTCGTAAAGACTCCAATAGTCACATGCTTGGCCTGGGCATTTACATTCGTAAGAATTCACCCATTTGTCGGGAAACTAGGTTTGAATCCACAGACTACTCTTTTATGTGCTTTCGTTTAGCACCACTTCACTCTATCCCCTTTCTCTTTGTTCTATATAGCTCTTCCTCATCCCAAGACTGCACTTTTCTTGATGTTATTTCTGATTATATTGACCAAGCCCTCATTCTTTATCCATCAGCCAATATTGTTGTTGTCGGTGACTTTAATGTTCATCACACTGAATGGCTTGGCTCTAGTGTCAGTGACTCTGCAGGCATTAAGGCCCACAACTTTTGTCTTTCTCAATCCCTAACTCAAATAGTCAACTTTCCAACTCGCTTTCCAGACAACCCGAATCATTTACCTTCTCTACTCGACTTATGTCTTGTTTCTGATCCTAGTCAGTGTTCAGTTTCTTCACACTCACCCTTAGGTGCGTCTGATCATGGTTTGGTCTCTCTAAAACTATTATCTCATTCTTCTTTACCATTAGAATCCCCCTATCATCGTACATCTTACAACTACCTTAAAGCTGACTGGGACTCTTTTCGTGACTTTCTTCGTGACAGCCCCTGGGTAGAAATCTTTCGTCTCCTTGTTGACAAATGTGCTTCTTACATAACTTCGTGGATTCAGGCTGGCATGGAATCCTTTATTCCCTCTCAACGATTCCAGGTCAAGCCTCACTCTTCTCCATGGTTTTCCTCACATTGTGCTGCTGCAATTGCCAATCGAAACTATTACTTTCATATCTATCAGCAAAACAATTCTCCAGAAAACAGACATCTCTTTATTACTGCTAGGAACCATTGTAAAAAGGTTTTGTCTAACGCCAAAACCAGCTATTCTCAGATCTCGTATTTCATCACAAAAATTAGGCTCTCGTGACTTCTGGAGAATCTTTAATAGTATCAATAATAAGGGCAAGTCTGTAATTCCACTTCTTTTGTACGGTTCAGACTTTGTCACCTCACCTAAAGACAAAGCTGAATTGTTTGCCAAGAACTTTTCATCAATATCATCTCTTGATGCCACTAGTTGCGTTTTACCTGATATACCCGTCAAACAGGTTGATCCATTGCTCGACATTCGTATCACTCCAGCTTCTGTATCTAAAGTGATTTCCCGCTTAGACTCTTCTACAGCTTGCGGCCCGGACAACATACCTGTTATAGTCTTGCAGAAGTGTTCTCCTGAGCTGTCAACTATCTTTTCAAAACTATTCAACAAGTGCTTATCAGAGTCTTGTTTTCCAGCCTGCTGGAAATCTGTTATCCCTATTTTTAAAAATTCTGGAGAGCGATCTAACTACCGTCCCATTAGTCTTCTTCCTATCATAAGCAAGGTTTTTGAATCTTTAATTAACAAACACTTAATCTCTCATCTCGAATCTCATAACCTACTTTCTGATCATCAGTATGGATTTCGATCTTCTCGTTCTATGGCTGATTTGCTATCTGTAATAACTGATAGGTTTTATTGCGCATTAGATAAAGGTGGAGAGGTTAAGGCCATTGCTCTTCACATTTCTAAAGCGTTTGATAAAGTTTGGCATGCTGATCTCCTCCATAAGCTTTCTTATTATGGTGTATCTGGAAACATCTTTAAGATTATTGAATCCTTTCTTTCCAATTGTAGTATAAAAGTTGTCCTTGATGGACAGCACTCTTCTTCTTATTCTGTAACCTCAGGGGTTCCCCAAGGTTCAATCCTTGGCATATAGTCTTTTTAATTTACATTAACGATCTTCCAGATATTCTCACATCTAAGGTGGCATTGTTCGCTGATGATACTACCATTTATTCTTGTCACGATAAGAAGCCAACTCCCTCTGATTGCTTGCAGGGGGCATCTGAGCTCGAAAAAGATCTCACTTCTGCTACAGCACGGGGCTCGCAGTGGCTGGTGAACTTTAATTCAGATAAGACTCAATTTTTTTCGGCCAATCGTCATCGCAATAATTTAGACCTTCCTATATTTATGAACGGTAATGTTCTCGATGAGTCTCCTACCCTTCATCTTCTAGGATTAACTCTTACTTCTGATCTTTCTTGGAAACCTTATATTAAATCCGTTGCAAAATTAGCATCTGCTAAAGTTGCTTCTCTTTATCGAGCTTGTCACTTTCTTACTCTGGATTCTATTCTCTATCTCTATAAATCTCAAATCCGGCCTTGTATGGAATACTGTTGCCATATCTGGGGCGGATCTTCTAATGATGCTCTTTCTCTTTTAGACAAAGTGCAAAAACGCATTGTAAACATAGTTGGACCTGCTCTTGCAGCCAACCTTCAACCTCTGTCACATCGTCGTAATGTTGCTTCTCTTTTTCTTTTCTACAAATACTATAATAGGCACTGCTCTAAAGAGCTAGCGTCTCTTGTGCCATCTACTAAAATTCATTCTCGTGTTACTCGTCATTCAATTAAGTCTCATCCTTTTTCTGTTACTGTTCCTAAGTGCTCCAAAAACTCTTATTTGTCTAGTTTTTTTCCTCGAACATCAGTTCTTTGGAATTCGCTTCCTTCATCTTGCTTTCCTGATTCATATAATTTGCAATATTTTAAGTCGTCTGTCAATCGTTATCTTGCTCTACAATCTTCATCTTTTCTCTTCCAGTAACTTCCAACACTAATTAGTGGTTGCTTGCAACCTTGTTGGAAGCGAAGATAATTAAAAAAAAAAAAAAAAGAAAATGTCATAAACAAATAAATTTCCCTTCAATGACGATAATTAAAATATAAGCTCTTTATATTTTATATCTTTATGTTTTATATCTTTATATCTTTATGTTTCTATAAAATAATTTTATATTGTTAATTATATTAGGGAAGCAGAGAACTTAGTTTCAACACATTAAATGCTTTTATCGTATTTCTTTACTGTATTTAATAGTATAACTTTTATTTTATATTGAACCATTTAAAAGTTATAAAATAAATAATTTAGTTATAAAATAAATAACTTAGATTTAAAATAAATAATATAGTTTTAAAATAAATAAAAAAGTTTTACAAATTTCATAATTTTTGATTAAGGTATTTCATGTATTATACAATGTTTTGATCTCAAGAATCTCCCACAGTGCTTTGCTTTTTTTTAATGAATAACTTCATGAGGTCTCACAGTGCATCGTTGTTCTTTTAAATGAATTTTGTGGCATCTCACACGGTGCATTGTTCCAGTTTATTTTATGGCTAATACTGCACTACCTAAACTCTAAAAACATTTTAAGTTTATTTATTTACTAATATTGGTGTTTACTTGCCTAAAAAATAAAATAATTTGATAAATGTGGTTTCTAACCACATTTATCATATATCTTTTTTATTATTTATCAGATATTTAGTTATTCTTCCTATGAAGCTCAGTTAGTTATACAGTCAAAGAAATAAGACAGGTGAAAAGTCTGACATGCAGATGGGACATGATGATAAAATTGAGACAATACAATAATAAAAAAATCTAGAAAGAAATGTCAGTGACAAAGAAGCTTACTAGAAAAGAATTAAAAAACAATGTTTCTGATGGTTTTCTTGTAGATTACCTTGATTCCAATCAGTGAAAGCTGGATTATCATCAAAAATATTATTGTTTTATATCAAAAAAAAAAAAATTTAATTACTCTTTGTTATTGCTCTTAATTTTATAATTATCTAGGTGCTTCATATGGGCCGTTTCCAGGAGCAACTGTAATTGGACTTACACCTGGTGATTGGAAATCTATTAAAATTAATCCACTTACAGAAATAAAGAAGCGTGTTAGAGTTTGTGAAAAAGAAAGATTGAGTCAGGTAATTGCATTAAAAAAATATTCTGTCAATTAAAAATGTAGGAAGTCCATTAAGAACAAAGCACTTATTACCATGGCTTCCATTTACTACAAGTACAGATATTTTTAAAAAATGAAATAAATTCAATATATAATAAAACTGTTAGAGTTTTAAGTAGATTATTGTGAATTATTATTCCAACAAGTACAATAATCCACTATAAATTTTTATATTGCATCTGTTATATATAATATTGTATCAATCTTAGTTTGCAATCTTAGTTTCTTTGTTTTCGTGCAAGCAAGGATTAAACTCTTATTGAGTTTTCTACTATACACATTCTTGAGACTCTTTTTTTCTTAGAATTTTCTTTTTCATGTCATTTGTAACACTCTCCAAATTTTCATTATTCTAACTCCATCTTTAATAAAACTATTTACTATCTACATTTGATACCCAATCACTTGCATCTATATGCTCTACATTTTCTAACCAGTTTAATTTTCTCACTATCAAATTTATCTTTATGGTCACACCACACATCCATTTGATCATCATCTTTTGTCATCATTATCTTTTATAATGCTGGGATTCATTATGCATCATTACCCATGTTTTGCTGTTACAAATCTAATAATAAGTTAATAACACTAACAAAAAGCTAAGGTTCTGCACACTGAACCCTCATGCACATCTTGATTTTAAAACCGTCAGTTTCTCCATTATTTGTATTATCCCCGTCATTTGTTTGATCTCCATCATTTGTATTGATTGCTATTATGACTAGAAACCATTCTATAACATGTGGTTACTTTATCACACTAGCTCTTTTGGTACACTGTTAGAAGTTCAACATGTCATTTAAATATTTTTTCTTTTTTAAAAATCTATTTTGAATTTGCCTTACAAAAAGAATTGCATCTTTTGTTTCCTTTCATAGTCTAAAAAGCAAACTAAATGTTATTGTTCGAATACATTGCTTCTTATTTTGTCATTAATAATTCTAAAATCTTCATAGTGAAGCAAATTTTTTCAAAAACATTTTCAATAACTACTTAGTAATTTAAAAATTAACTTTTAGTAAAACTCTGTACATAAGTTTTTAATAGTTTAACATGAAAGTATTTGTTTTTATTAAAGGATGGAAGATGTGATGAGCTTGCTGTAAATGATTATCCTGATTTAAAAATGGTCAGTGGAACTGGTATGTACTTTCCTATAGAAGTTATTATCTTACTAGGCCTTATTAGTTATGAGATACTAATTTACTAGTTAGTTACTAGTTACTAGGTTTCTTATAAAACATTAGCAATAACTCAATAAAATAATTTTTAGAATTTTTTAGAAAAATGATTTTCTTTACCGACTTTTAAATAAGTTTCAAACTAGATATAACTTACAAATGTACCAAAAAAATATCATCAAGTGGACTGAGGATGAAATGCCATGATGAAGTAGATAGTGGACTATCTACTTCATCATGGCATTTCATCCTCAATGAAACAATTTAACTGCTATGAACTAGTATAATTTTGTTTTATTATTTAAAAAATTTTAAATCTAAAAGGACACTCAAGAAAAGTTTTTTTTATGGAATTTTTTTTTTTTATTGGAGTTATAAAGTTGAGAGAGGGTTGTAACCATAATTTTTGTAGCTTCCTTGTAGTAGCTTTTAGTAGCCTTCAGAGCCTTGGAAAGGTAGTAACCTCTAGTAGCCTTCAGAGCCTTGGAAAAGTGAATTAACATTAAAAAAAACATGATTTGGTTTGGTGATTGGTTTGAAGCCTGATAATAATGAAAACGCTATATTTTCAAATATTTGAGGGAAGTGACTTTAAAAAATTTAAAATCATTAACAAAATGTATATTTATATATATATATATATATATATATATATATATATATATATATATATATATATATATATATATATATATATATATATATATATATATATATATATATATATATATATATACAAGGGTCATTTAACTCAGTTGTTTTGACTCATAGTGATGACTCATAGTGATGACTCATAGTGATGGCTCCATGTTTTATCACACATTACAATTCTTTTTAAAAAAACATTCTTCTTCAGTCAAATATCAATGTTTCAACTGTTAATTAATTTGAAGCTGAGTTTCTTTGTGAGCGTCCATAAGTTGTTACGGTACCCATCGTGCATAGGTTTTCTTGTACTGCAGCTTGTTGTGAATAATGTTTTGGAAAGTTCCAACATTCCCGTTTATTTTTTCACTTGTCAATTCAACTGTGGTGCACCTGTTTTAAAAAATTATGGCAATTGAAAAATTTGAACATTTTGGAAGGACAAATACACTTTAGAAAAAAAAATTGGTCTTGTTGCTTTAAGATCCCAGACAAAACCTTTGTAAACAAACCTTCTGTATTGAACAATTGATTTTTTTTCCTGGTTATTTTTTCCTAATATATCTGAGATGCTTATTATTGACATCCATTTCTTCTTTACTTCAAATTTCAAAATAATTGAATCATTCATTTCTATCAGCTCCTAGATATTCTCAGATATACTTAATAAAATTTTTGTAAAATGTTTAGCTCCATGTTTAACTATAAAAACAGAATCTGTTTTTATAGTTAAACGTTAGTTTTTTTTCTAGAAGACATTGTGGATTAAAGCAAGCCATACTTTTCAACTATATATAAGTCAATTTGACTTGTTACCTTTTTGCAATTTTTGATTGATCTGTGATTTCCTTTCATTTTATATTATTACTTAGAAGCTTTCTAGCAACATTTCCAGTTATTCCTCTAAGTTCAGTAAATTCTTCAAAATTTCAATTTTTTTTTGTTTGTTTTTACTCTGGTAGTTACTTGTAATTTTGCTTTTTTTTCTTACAGTAGTGTTTCTATTTGTTTTAGATTCTGTCCTAGTTAAGACACCTCTAGCTATATGAATAACTACCTTCAAAAAATGATCAAAGATTCTTCGCAAGCCATGTAAAAATTAAAAGGAACTAACGTTTGAGCATGCAATTGAATTTGTGGTTTGACAGAGTGGAATGTCATAATCCTTTTTCAAAAGGTTTCTTCAAAATGGTCCCATCATTAACTATTTAAATATTTGTTGCATAGACTTGATATCTTTGTTTATAATAAAACTATCTTAAACTGTTTGTATTTGGTCACATTGTACTTTTTAAGGGCCACATAGATCACAATATGCACCTCCAAGAACTTGATAGATATTTGAATTCATTGTGACCAAGAGTAACACCGATTTTTATTTTTAAGGATTTTTAAGCATTTAAATGAATTATTAAAATATTATTTATTCAATATTAAAACAATTTTAATCATTAAAGTAAAAATAAGAATTTTGATGTTAAAAATAATTCGCTTTATAGTAGCCTGGTATCTAAATGTTCCATAATTGTGTAATAGAAATTTATTTGGTGTGTTCAATCACCACAATTAATTTGTGTTTATTGAACAAAGATGATGGTGATGAAGTAAAATCAATCACAATATAGTTATCTGAAATTGTTTTATAGCTGCGTCTTTTATAATGTCCTTTTTTAATTTCTTACAGTTACCATATAATTATGGAAGTAATGTTAATGCATAAAACATAAAAAGAAAAAGCATTTAGGAAAATATATATTGTGACCATATATAATTATTCAAAACAAATTAAGAACGCTCTTTTTTTAGCATCTTTCTCAATGTTTTATTGTGTTCTATATATACAGTATATTCTTAATAATGATTTTAAATCATCTTGAGAAATATATTATAATCTATAAGAATTATTAGAATCTATTATAAGTGGCCTTTTTGGTGTCCTAAAAATATCACATGATCATAGATTGGTTAAAGTTTGAAATTTTAAGTTAAAACATGTATTGTAACCACAGAAAATTATCTAAGAAAAGTTTATTACTGTTGTTTTTAACATGTTTTTACTGTGTGTTGTTTTAGTATCCTAGAGTTATAGTATGTTCTTGAGGGTATTTTTTAGGGATAGAGCTTCAAAAATTGAGTTAAAAAAATGTTTCATAACCATATAATATTTTTGCATACTACATAATGAGATTAAGTGAGAGATTAAATCCAGTCAAATGTCAGCAAAAAGTGCTAATTAAATCACTTTAAAGTTCTTGAAAGCATGTGGAACTCAATTTCAAAAGAACTATGCATGAATTTGATAGATTTGATAAAAATTTTTGCTGTTTAATTGATTCATCCAAATTTAATTGTCACTTTTTTTCTTATTTTTCATTTTTAATTTTAATTAATTAGCACTTTTGCTAATAAATTAAAAAAAACAGTTAATAACGTCTCTCTTACAGTTTTTATTTAAATTGCTCACAAAAAATTTTTTTTCAACAAGTTTTTACTTGACCAAACTTTATATATTATTACATTATTATTATATTATATTACATTATATAATAATAGTTGTGAATTTGTTAATAATGAATTTTAAAACAAAATTTTAGATGGAGATATATTGACTAGGGAATCAAATAAATGTATATTTCCATTTACTTTTAACAATGTGAGATATAATAAATGCACAAATAAAGATGGTAAAGATTATTGGTGTGCAACATCTGTGAACAGTGATTTGAGTTACAATAAATGGGATTATTGTGTTTTTCGTAAGTTATTTAAAGTGATCTTGTTTTTTGTTAGTTTTTTCAGACTCTTTTTTTTTTCAGAATTTCAGAAAGAAAATCATTTTTTTATTTAGCACAAACTTGGTCAGAGAAAATTCTTTCCATATCAATTCCTGAAAGTGTTCAAGTTTGGCTTTATACAGAAGAAAATTATAAAGGTTTATTTAAATCAATACATCATATATATATATATGTATATATATATATATATATATATATATATATATATATATATATATATATATATATATATATATATATATATATATATATATATATACTGTCTCAGGAATGGCATGTAGTTACATGCCTTATATGACCACGCATATAATATAATGACATGTAGTTACATGTTTTATATGACCACGCCATATTTGCAAAGAGCTGTGGTCATTATATGACCTCGCATATAATGGCCACAGGTCTTTGCAAGTTTGGAAAATTAGCTTGTTAAAAAAATGTGCTGAATAAGCAAATGTAGACTTAAACTAAAATTAAAAATGAACAAACCATAACTGAAAAGATAAATAAAAACTCAAAAAAAAAAATACAAAACTAAACTAAAAAAACAAATATTTCAACTAATGATAAAATAAATAAAAGATAAACCAAAAAAAATAAAAATATAAAATTTATTTTAATTTAAAGGTGTTTAATTTAACGGTGAAAATATCAAAGTTCTTAATTACTTCGAAACTTAATTGTTTAAAAATTGGAAACTTTCATATTTTCCAATAGATGATATTTGATAACTTTTTCAAGAACTTTTTGCTATGCATTGTGGTAATACCTGGGCCATAACAAAGTATAAAAATAAAGTTTTCATTAATTGAAGAATAAAAGTATATCAAAAATTAAGAACTTGTATATATTAATATATACAAGTTCTTTATTTTGGATATATTTTATTCTTCAATTAATGAAAATTTACTGAACAACCTTATAGCCTTTGCTGAAAATTACTTAATTATAAAACAAGATGAAAAAAAGTTAATACATCACGCCAGGAAATTATTATAAACAATGGAGAAGACTGTATTAAAAAAAGTGGAGGTTTATTTGATGTTACCATGTAAACCTTTAATAGCTTGAGTTTAAGTTTTGTGATTTGCTCAAAAATTTTATATCGCTAGAAAGCTTTTCTTGAAATTTGCTGTTTTCTGACATTTTTGATTTAGTTTGATTATTTATCTTATTTCAATTATCGCTTACAACGATGAGTTCGGATTGTGTAAAGATGATGGTCTAGCAGTGTTAAAGAACCAGAGTGGCTAACAAATGGATAAATTAAAAAGCACTTTGTGAAAATTTTTAAAAATAATAATCTCCTTATATCCAATAGCAGTAATTTTAAAGTTGTTAGTTATCTAGATTTAATATTAATTTTTAATGATAGTTCTTTCCAATTTTACTGCAAGCCTGGCAATTCCATCAGTTATATACATGCTGACACAAACACCCTCCTAGCATACTAAAAAACCTATCCAACTAGGATTGTTAACCAATTCTAATAAAAATTTAAACAATGTATTCCTTCTTATCAAAATGCATTATTTAAATCAGGTTTTATCTGCAAATTCATTTACCATTCGAATAAAAAACTGGTCCCATTATATTATATTATATATATATATATATATATATATATATATATATATATATATATATATATATATATATATATATATATATATATATATATATATATATATATATATATATATATATATATATATATATATATATATATATATATATATATATATATATATATATATATACATATATATATATATATATATATATATATATATATATATATATATATATATATATATATATATATATATATATATATATATATATATATATATATATATATATATATATAAGTTCAATATTTTTACAAATAAATAATAAATTTTGATGCAATTACTTTTTGAGTTTCACAATTGTATTAAACAAATCTGCAATTTACATGAACTGTAGATAGTAATCTTGTGTAATGAATAAGTAGTTGTTGATTATTCTTAAATCCCCCAGGCAATACCAGAACACTTTGCGCACTTAGCTATTTTAAAGTTATTGAATATTGTCTATGTCTACATAGCAAATAAAACATTTGTTAACAGTAATAGCCAATAGGTTTCATTGAGCATTAGATAAATGTGGAGAATAATTAATAAAGTTTGACATGCTGGTCTTCTCCAAGATTATTTTATCCTTCCTTACCAACTGTAATATAAATATTATCCTCAATGGACAGCATTCTTCCTTATTTTCTTTAACTTCAGGGGTTCCTCAAGGTTCTATCCTTGACCCTTATACTTTTTTAATTTGCATTAACAAGCCCCTAGAAATTCTCGCATCTAAAGTGGCATTTTACGCTGAATATATACCATTTATTCTTGTCTTGATGATGTCATGATTGATGAATCATCTGATTAACTCTCTAGTCTTTCTTGGAAACGATATCAAATCAATTGCAAAATTAGCATTTACTAAGGTTGCATGTCTTTATCCTGCTCCAAAAATTTTTATTAAAGTTTTTTTCCTCAAAAATCTGTTCTTTTAAGTTTTTTTATCTTGTTTTCCTGATTCATATAATTTGCAATCTTTTAAGTCGCCTGTTAATCGTTATCTTGCTTTAAAAACTTCATCTTTTCTCTTTCAGTAACTTCAAACTCTAATAGTGGTTGCTCTGCAGCTTCTTGGAAGTGAAAACGTATAAATATTAAAGCATAAAGATTATTTGTTAAAAGGATTTAAACCTTCGTCCATCAACACTAACAGTTGCAACTTCATATAAACAATATTTAATTGTCCTAGGTGCTACACTAATGTCATGATATTGAAAAATTATAAATTTTAAACTATAAATTGAGACCATTCTAAACAAGTTACTAGATTTGAACTACTAATTGAGATGCTTCTAAATTATGAAAATTTTTTCATTTTTACTGGGTTATCTTAAACAACGATTGATATTTTTTAATATAAAGTTTAAAAATAGTTAACTTGGATAATGTTATTGTATAAGACTTTTACACGACCTCGAGAGACCTCCAGAGGTATAGTTAGGGTTTGTCCCAGTAAAGTTCTTCTACAATTTAATTTGTTCATAAATATTTCTAATTTTAATTTTATCAGGAACTGCCTATGGTCCATTTATTGGTGCTAACACCATTGATAAAGTATGTGGAGGAGCTAAAACAAAATCCATGAAAGTATCTAACAGTGACAAGAAATCTTCAGAGATGGTAAAGATTTGTCGTGGTGCATCTTTCTCTCAGATGTGTGATTTTATTGAAACCAATGTAAGAACACTTTTTTCCTAATTTCAATAAATTTTTATTTAAAAAAACCAGGTATTTTTAAGAGACGTTGCCGAAAAAATCGCTTTGTGTTGACAAAAAAAACAGTTTAGTGCTGAGCCAGAGAATTTAGAATAAGATATGACTTTTATAAATAATGAGTGATAGACAACATATTATTTATCAGACAAACATTTTTTTGTTGTAAAATGTTTAACAACAAAATATATTTCTGCTTGAACCTAAGCATTAAGTATTTCATATTTGTTTTAAGTTTGATAATGTAATTATTATTGCTTTTTAGGCTTACCCGAACCTCGTTATTCATGGGTGTTATTGGCACAACGAGGGAACCAAAATTAAAAGTATGCGTGTTCCTGGTGGACTTGCTGTATATATGTGGACCGGTGAAAACTATAAGGGAAGACCTATAGGACCTTACTTCGGACCAGTTTCTGTATCCGTCGTCGATGGTGGTGAGCCATCCGAGGAACCAAACGATAAATCTCAAATTAAGTCTTTAAAGATTGTTCCGTATAAACCTGTTGCTGTTGATTCTGTGAAAAGAAAATTTTCTAAAGGAAAATCTAAAAATCATAAAGAATAAAGAATGAGAAATAAGATAAAGAATCATTAATAACGAATCGAACGAGAACATTGACTAGAACATAAACGAATCAAACGAGAACATTGGATATGACAAACGATGCATGTCGAAAAAAATGATCGATTATAAACTTATTTAATTATTTAATAAATTTCAATAATTTTTTTGTTTGTTTTTAATTTAACAGTTTTAACAAAACATTTTTTAAAGAAACCTTTTTAGCCATGGCGTTCTCTAACAAGCCGTGAAACACGAAATTTAGAAAAAATGTTGTCGTCTATTCTTAAACATTTTTGTAAAAAGGACGCGGATTATCTCATTTAGTTTGCTCATCTAGTCGATAATATGTTGCCGAAAGCGATTTATTTTTAGCCCACCCAATTTTGATTTAAAAAACACAGTTTTCTTGAAGTAATTACAGTCTTTATTTCAGATGGTAAACTTTGTGAAACATATATAATTTATTTATCTTATCAGTATTCACACCTTTTACAATGTTAAAGTTATATATATTTTGACCATCTAACATTTTCAAGAATCTTCATGATTTAGAAAAAGGAAAAAAAAAATTACAACTTCTGATATTATATATAATATTAGAAGTTGCTTTTTTTTTTTCCCCTTTTTTTATTTCATGAAGATTTTTGATAATAAGATATTTTATCTTCTACTTGCTCTAGTCAGATGGTCAAAATATACATAACTGTAACATTGTAAAAAGTGTGAATTATAACAAGACAAATTATAAATGTTAAACAAAGTTTATGATCTGAAATAAAGTCTATAGTTTCTTCAAGAATATTGCATTTTTAAAGTCAAAATTATAAAAAAACTTTTTATAACTATACTCAAAAAACATTTTTGTATGTATACAAAAATATAAATTCATCAAGTGAGAAAAAAAAAAAAGTGGAAAAAATAAAGAAAAACTCAAGCATTTTACAATTCGAATATGTAATAAAATAGTATTTTTTAACTATTTTTAACAAAAATGAAATATCCTCCAAATGTTCGATCTTTATGAAATTTTACTTCCCTCACGAATTAAGGTTTTTTTTTTTATTTTTATTTTTTTTTTTGTCAAGCAACCATGTACAATTAAAAGTACATGTACAATTAAAGGTACAGATATATAAAAATATTAAACACAAGTATATTTCATTATTTATAATAGTTACGAGACCGGAGAACCTGAAGAAGATAAAATCTTATCATCAGTAACCTTTGATAATAAAAATTGGAAATAAAAGTGTATTGTTAGAAAAAATCATGTAAAGAATCTTGATTGGCAATAAGTTTAATTATTTTCTTTTTAAATTTTTGACAGGTATTGGCTTTTTTAAGTTTACCACTCAGGCTTGTAAGATGGTTCCATAGTATTGGGCCACGATAGGAAATGGCAAAGCTCATAAGTTTTGATGTACGGTAGGATTTTTTAAATCTTCCGGTAGATCGCGTGTTGTATTGGTTTAATGTTTTATGGAAAATGTTTTCGAAAATCTTCGGCGTTTTTTTTGACTGATGTTGAAACATAAATTGTGTAATTTTGAAAATATTTAATTTATAAATATCAAGTGCCCTCATGCTTTTTAGAAAAGGTATAGCATTTGTGAAGCGATTTTGAAAATGAATAATGCGTGCTGCTGTTAGCGATAACCTAGTTTGATATTTTTTTTAGTTCATTATTTGCTACTTGAAATAGAGATATTACTGTGAGAATAGAATAAAGTGGTGTCGTCTGCAAACCTAATAGTAGACATAGCATTTGATGCTTTATATAGATCGTTGACATAGATTAAGAACAGCAACGGATCTAAGATGGAGCCTTGTGGAACCCCACATGATATTTAAAGTTTGTTTGTCTGAAAGCCATCATTTAGAGAAATAAACTCTTTCGATCAGTTAAGTAACTGGTAAGCCATTTATGGTATTCGTGGCTTATTCCATAATATTTTAGTTTTTCTAATAAAATCTGATGGTTAACGGTGTCAAATGCTTTTGGTGAACTTGTTATGAGAAGATGCTCCACTGATAACTTCAACAAGTTGCATAAATGCATGTTCCGTAGAGTAATTTGATCGAAAACCATATTGGTTATAAAAAAGAAGATTGTTATCATACAAAAATGCAAACATCCTATTATACATAATACGTTCAAAGATTTTTGAAAATGCAGGTAATACCGATATAGGTCGATAATTTGTAACCAGACTTTCATCTCCTAATTTAAAAATGGGTGTAATAATTGCAACTTCATTTTATCTGGAAAAACACCTGTTTAAGCGGTTTGTTAAAAATATTTAATAAAACATCTTTAATAAGTTCATAGCAGTCTTTGATTATGCCTCCTGAAATAGATTTATAGCCTGTTGCTTTATTTTTATTTAATTTTTTTATTGAATTATCAAGTTCTTTACTAGCGAGTTGTTTAAATGCTAAGCTTTTATTTGACTTCGATAGATAGCTCAAGAAATGTGCAGGAGTGTGTTTAATTTTGCTGGCTAAGTTTAGACCAATATTTACGAAAAACTCATTAAATTTTGTTGCCACCGATTTTACATCAGAGATCTGTGTGCCGTCTACAGGAATCACGCTTGGCAAGACTTTGTTGTGTATTTTTTGTTTTCCAAGAATCTCTTTAATAGCATCCCACGTTTTGTTGAAGTTAGCTTTTAGTTCTGACAGCTTTTTATTTTTATTTATTTATTTTTTATTATTTTTTTATTTGTCATTAAAAAAAAAGAATACAATGCCGTGTTATATAAATAAAATCTACATGACCGGGGCTAAAAGAAGACAATATTTGCCTTATCACTACAGCTACACTACAGCTTGTTTTTGAAGTATGTAGTTCTGGCTATTTTTTTAGTTCTTTCATATAGACGTTTGTGGTCTAAGTAATCATGGTTATCACGTTCTTTCTTTGGTTTAATAAAGCGTTTAAACTTTATATGTTCATAATTTTCGAACACTAAGAGATAATTGTATAAAATTTGAAATTTGTCAATGAATTTAAATACAGTCAAAAAATAATAAAGAAAATATTTTATAAACTAACCCTAACTCACTCCTAACTATAATCCTGACCCTAACCTGAATCCTGCTCCTACGTATGGACCAAAACTCCCCCCAACCTAAGGGCTGAGGAGGGGCAAAATTTCAGGGCTTTTTTGTTCGCAAGCTCCAAGCGTCGTACTCATTTGCAAAGCATCCTTATATGACATATGCACTATTTCCTAGGAAACATTGATATATGGGTACATAAGGGTTATATGATATATGGGTACAGGGTTGTCAACAGGGACTCATATGGGAAACAGTTCGAATTTTGCCACGTTTTGGCGGGAATTCGAAGTGTTTCCCAGTCTAATCCTGCTGGATAACTGTATGAATTCCAGCTATGTTGTTATTGTAGTATCTCGTTTAAGAAAATTATGGAGTTTCTAAAAACTACTTTTAAACTTCACATAAATGTCAAATCATATACCATAATCCCATATGTTTATTTCAAATCAAATTATCCCATTTGTTTATTTCAAACCATATAATTCTATTTGTTTATTTTCAAATCATACGAAACCATTTGTTTATTTCAAACCATATAATCGGAACTGAATTTATAAATAGATTCAGTTCTGATATTGTCTACTTGAATATATAAAAAATTAATTTATTATTTTTAGGTTTGCTTTTTTTTATTTAATTCCATTTCTTTTTATCTTGCACGAGATTCATCCGTTAACATTTCTTTTTCTTTCCGATTCTGTCCGTTAATGTTCTCTTGATTCTTTTTTTTTCGTCGGTTTTCATAGGTTGCGTGTGTCGAAGATATTTCAAAAGTACCACTTCTAGCTGTTTTCTTGGAGTCAGAACATTCTGTATTTCATCTGAGCTTGTGAATCGCATTGGTACAGAACTTATTCTATTCATGTTATCGATTGCCGGTATAATCTTATTTTATTTTCCGTTATTACTTGCGCTTATAATTACACCCAATGTCAGAGATTATGCCGTTGTCGTCTGCCGTTGACATTTAAAAACACCTAAATCTAAAGACTGCAAAATACAACTTGTGTGGCCTGGTAAACCAAATTAGCTCAATCTTGTTTGCAATAGTAAAGTCTATAACAGTTTTTGATATATGCGAGTTTAGTCCATCAAATATTAGAAGCTTCAAATCTTCTAATTGGTTTGTTTTTGTAATAAATATCATTTCAAACCATTTAATGATTTGGAAGAGTTCGTCCAACCTGAAGGAGAACAGTTGCAACGTGCATTGTCCGGACCGCCATTGCACAAGGTGCTGTAATGGTAAAGACCTTTACAAACTATGTATAGTGATAAAAATTGACCGGTTGCAGAACAGCATACCTGTACTGTGAACATTGTTTTAGTTGAAGTACCAACCGTTTTATTTGGATTCATTAACTTACGTTTCTGCTTGCCTATATCGATTTGAAATTTTGTTTCATCTACATTGAATATATTTTGTGGCTTATTCTGCAGATGAATTTTCTCAATAACAGTTGCTATTTTTTCAAAAAAATCATCAATGCTACATGAATGCTACTTTCTTTCATCAATGTACATGAATGCTACTTTATATATGCTGACATTGTTTTCACTCACATCATAAATGGCCTTCTTCATGGCTTCAATCCGCATGTTGAACTTGCAAGGCATTATATCATGTAATCATAAACTCTAAAAAAATTTATTTATTTAGACTTAAAGCGTAATAATAATAATCACACTTGAGTAAACTTTGACAGACCTAAGGGATAACTTTGACAATCCTGTAAATGTTACTTCAAATCCGAAATGCGCGTTTTAAACTAAAAATACTAAAAAATCATTTTAAAAGCTTAACATTTAGAAATAACATCATAAAAATACATCTAAAATTTATTACAGCATGGTTTAACTTACCTTAGAACTAAAATTTTTTAACATTAAAAAAATTAAGAACAAGTTTTATTTGTGTTCGCCGTATTGTATCGTTATTTATGTTTACAAATATGTGGATAAATATATATTTGTTCATTTAACAGATTACTGTCACGTCGGTATAAATAATTTAAACAATAGTCAACCGTTGGTTAAGTATAAAAATATAATATAGCACGTATTATTTTAGATAATATTGTTAAATTAAATATTTAAA